ACTGCATCTTATTCTGTTTACTTTTTTTTTCTTCTATGGTAAGTATTTTCTACATCTAAAATTTATAGTTCATCTAGAAACACCAAGATATCCAAAAAAAGGACAAAAAATATAGTAAGATGCAGTAATAAAATGCAGGGTGTCCTATGTGAAAGTAAAATATGTACCAAAGTTTATTTGAAAATTTATTGTTTTATATATTATTTTATTATTATTCATAAAATAAAATTTAATTGATACTATAACAAAGCACATATCTCTGTTTATCTCTCCCTGAAATGTTGTAAAACAGATTATAAAAATAAACCTATTCTATTTTTTTGTGAACCCTTGCACTGTTAACAAGAATTGAATCAAGAAAATTTTGATAACGAATTACAAAAATAGACTATACTTACAAAGCGAGGCCAATCAGAGTATGTGAAAATATATAGGGTGTTTCATTAAAAAAAAATAGTTGTATGTTACGCTTCCAAAACAGAACACTTTGTATAATTAAGCATATTTTGAGTGTAAGGTATTCAAAGATCCATATAACTTCAATCTTTAACTTTTTTCCTATTTGCAATAATTAATGAGATACCTATTGAGGATCGCACGCTTAATCACTCATTTTGTATACCTAAAAGGCAAGTTTTATGAATATGCCACTGAAGTTTGTCCTTTTTTCTTTAATAAGATGGTAAAAATTATCAAAGGCTCTTCATTCACAAAATGGAAACTAACATTCAAATACGTAATTTAGCAGCTGTGTACATATTCCGTCTTGCTCCACCTTCGTATGCAAAGTCAAAAATTGACAAAAAAAAATGCATCTATAGAATTAACAGGAAGTGATTTACTTGATGGTTAAAATTTACACAATTTTTTCGAAAATAACAGTATGAGTTTCGGGATAGTTCTGACATTACTGAAAATATTTCAAAAAATTCCACGTTATTACTTGCCTTGAAAGTAGGGATGTACCGACTAGTGGCCGACCGGTCGGATAAGCCGACTATTCGGCCGTTTTTCATCGTCGGCTGCAGTCGGCGACTAGTCGGCTAAACAGCCGATCGGTCGGCTTTTTTTATTAAAATTAAAATAGTATATAAAACAATTAAACCCGGTTTACAGAACCTCAATTAAATATTTAATTGCGATTTAATTTTTAGCCCCGCGTTAAAGTATCATGTGACCGACTCTACGCCAATCAGACGTCGCTAATGGCCTTGTTAAATGCGCGATCAACTTAAACTCAGTTAAAATATTGTATAAACTGGCCCTAAATTGTGTTATTCTTTATTTTTGTACTGAGTTACTAAAAAAAATTAAATGTTAAAATTATCTAAACAAATTTAACACATTTTTTGAAAAACAAAGGAACTTTAGTTATTCCTTTTATTAAAATAGAACAAACCTTTAAGGTAGCCAGAGAAATATAAAAAAAACACACTGTTTGTTGCATTTATAAACCGGTTTTAGCAAAGCCGAGCAGTCGGCCGACTAGTCGGTTTTTACTGGCCGAACAATCGGCTAGTCGGTTAGTCGGCCAGACCTACAGTCGGTACATCTCTACTTGAAAGTAAAAAATCTTTCTCAGTATATGAATATGAAGAAAATGAAAATTACACTGTGGAACTTAAAAACATTTTTTTCTACAATATCCCCTGTATGGTATATTACAATTAAAATATAGAGGTGGATTACCACACCTAGAGATACAGTAGCAGTAATAATTGCACCAGCACTGTGTCCGTAGAGTTTCACGAAAACTCAGTATATAAACATTTTTGTTTAAGCAATAAAATAAACAACTGTAGAGTGACACTATACATTAAATTTCAAACCAAATTTACTTCACAAAATTTTGAGATGATGTCATCAAGTTATTGAAAGGGATGAATAGGTGAATTTTGATTAGCGATTTACCTTGTTCAATTACCTACATGCATAAGGTTAAAAACAAGATTGGATTAATAAATCACAAGTATTAGAGGTATATTGTGCATTTTAAATGTGATTTACTTAGTAAAATTGTGAAATAACCTCATCAAATTTTCAGTATGAATACCTAATCACAATTTGGTTCGCGATTTACCATTTCCACCAAAATTCATAAAATACATCTAAAATTCCACAAAGATCAGTATACCAGTTTTAGAAAGTATGCATTTGTTTAACAAAATCGCCAACAGATGTACTTTTTCATATTTTTGGGGCTATGAGGCGTTGAGATGAAATGAGCCATTTGTCAAATGAATCTATTTAAATATTTTCTCAGCTTACGCTCGAGAAGTAAAGAACGGTATTTAATAAAAAACTCTTTAATTTTTTGGACTTTTAATTCTATTGTTCGCGGTTGTAAGTGTTTGTGACATTATCTTGGGAGATCAACGAACACGGGATATTGGTTAAAAATAAAGGAAATTAATTTTGTCTCGTTTTGTAAAAGGGCAATAATATTATTTTAGATATGTTTTTTGGTACTTTATAATTTATATATGGATCATTAAATTAATGACCATGAAGGCAAACATGTACAAATAATACTCCAAAAAAATATATTATTCAATATTTCTGCATAATTGGTTTTACAGTGTCGACAACAACAAATTAATTAAACATAAATTTAAAATTTACATAGTTTTGTTACAGAGGGTTTAATTAAGTATTATTTAAAGGTTTTGATATATTTGGATAAGACGATTCGACAAATGTTAGTTTTAAAAACATGAAAAAGTCAAAAATTAAACAAAAACAAAGTAAAGTCGTCTTCTTGATTAACATTAAATGATAATTTAATAGTAGCAACACTAGTAGTTTAATAATAATATAATATATCAAATATAGACGGTTAATTCAATTGGCAAAGATAATGTCTTAGATTCTCGTGTGGCCATTTGGCGGTTCCGCCATTCAAATGAATTAACTTTGTTTTAGAAATTTTGTCCTAAATACCTCCAAGTCAAATATTTTGTCGAGAACATATAAGCCTACCAAACGTCTAGCAAAAATTTTAACAACATATCCCAGCCGTATTTTACAATTAAGACAAAAATGTTTTTTATAACTGAAAGCGCAAATTCATACAACGCATTCTATTTATATTCCCCAATAAACACAAACCAGACAAGAACTATTGTCCCGTCGTGCCAATTTTTTCAGCCGCCGAAATATTTATGTTTAAGCTCTTAGCTGACTCAGCCTCTAGTTATATTTAATTCACTTCTAGCCGAAATTTACAATTTTGCAACTCCTAAATTATCTTCCTCGCGCAATCGGTCAAAAACACCTCACGATTTGCCCATGAACGGTCATTAATTCAGCATTAACAAATGTCCGCGATGGTTCGATAAAATTCAAAAATTGAGGCTCACACCGTGTAATTTAGCTGTCTGCAGCGTAAAAATGGTAGTTTGCGTAACATGAAGGATTTGCGTGGCATGCAGAAACGCGGTGTAAGAATGAAAATAAAATAATTTATGATGGATGCGTTTAATAATTTCTTAGGTTAATTTAGTGTTGTGTAATGCGAGGAAAAATGGGAATCTGCCATTACAAGCTATGTTGTCTTGCTCAAACCGCAGGAATTTGTAATTTTGACCGGCGTATTTGTTGGTCTGGAGAGGAACGTGAGGAGAACGAAGTTTCGGTGATGGGCAAGTTTTTACGAATTTGGAGGATAGGAGAATGCATTGTTTGATTGGTGGAGGAGAAGTTCAAGGTAGAGCACGAATCGTGGCTAGGAAAATGGATACGGCATTATTCGTAAGCTAACTACACAATAGACTTTAAAAAAATAGGGGGAAAAAAGAACATAATTCGAGACAATACAGAATTACAGCTTATAATAAAAACGACCATGAAGACAACATTACAAATGGAATATGCACAAATGCAATCAGGTCAATTCTTACGTTCTTATAAAAGAACGTTTGTTGAAAGTTTTGCAAGTATCGTTCTATGGAGGTTATTAATTACTTCGGTACCGCTGCAAATACGTCGAAGAATATTAAAAAACAATAGAAAAAATAAAGCCTTAATATGTATTAAGTTTCAACTATTTATAAATGATATTTTGCGTCACCATTTGTTCAACTAAATATATTTTTTTGTTAATTCAAGTATCCTGCATAGGAAGTGAAAAGTGGAAACAGAAAATTAATGTACTCAAACATTGTCAATATTACATGCAGCGTCTGAAGATACTTGAATCTTCCTCTTTAAAGATTTTAGAGCCCATATAACATTTAGAATCTTGAAAATTTTGAAAATCTTTTTATACAATCTACAAATTTCGATTTTAAAATTCTTTTTTTATAACATTATCTATTACATATATTGGAAGGGAAAAACATTAATTAAGTATATAGACTGTAAGATCTTCATCTCTTGAAAAATATTTTTTTTAACTTTTAATCTTGTTTATAACAAAAAAACGTGGAAGCTCGCATAGTCTGTACAATATTTAACACAGTGGAACAATTTCCGTGTAAAATGCATTCATTATCGCGTAGACAATTCGTGGCGAATAGCAGCCAAGGTCATCTGATAAGCATCTAAGGTCAAATTTACTAATTTTTATTATTTGACGTAAAAGTGCATCAACCTTCAAAGTATGAAGACATCATTTAACAGCACTAATTGTACAAATTGTAAAACACTTCCTCTTTGGCTGTCAACTGCTATTGAAACGCAAAACAAATTTATTATCACCTCTTTTGACATTAAAACCAACGGTAAGCTTTTTTTGGGTTTGATGTATCTATTATCTACCGACATTAAAGACACTATCTTGGACTGCTTTCAAATCCAATTTAGAATAACTTATGGGTACCACGTGGGTCTGTGATGTGTCTGAAAGAAAAAAGTATTTTTAGGCATAACATCGTGTTTTCACTTATAAGGGTTTTAATGTTGTTTTTGATACTCCGTTGAAAAAATTTGGCAAAATAAATCTGTGAAAAAAAATCCCGACTGCGAAAATAACATCGATTAATTCTTTATGTTGCTTATAGCTCTTATGGTTTACATCTATCAGTTCAACTAGAAGCAACCCCGGCGGAACACATCCTAGAGCAAGCTGACTGGGGTTGATTCATGACCTGTCGCCGCGCGCTGTAATGGAGCTCCTTTCTCCTTCTCCCCCTCGACCAGCCCTGGATGGACGAAATCCCGAAAGTTCTACTAAAATTCGAATGACGTTGTGAAATATGGATCAGGTAAAAACAATCAAGCTAAAAAATCTCACTCGGGGTTTTACGCTCGGTCACTATTAAATCACTACTGCGCGTTTCGGCGATTTCAAAATCTTAAAATCACGACGAATGGCTTCATTAAATAAACGAGAACTTGTTTACTATGATATTCGATGAATTACTTAACTAAATTAATTATAGTTTAAAATATTTTTGGCAAGATTTGCTTAATTGCCATTGCGAATATTTATTGTCAAAACAATCCGAACTTCACTTTTGCAAAATATAAATTTAGTTTATTTTTATATAACTGTGTTATTGGGGAGTCATTAACTTATTCAGTTTAACCTATTATTTAGATTTCTTTACGTCATTGTATTCGGATAAAGTTAATGTGGATATGCAGTAGATATCAGCAGCTTTGTAAATAGGGTAATTGCGTATTCCTACTGTTTTGATTGATTTAACAGCCTATTTTACTACATATTCACAAATATAAAAATAATTTATCGTTTTTATTATTAATATGCCTATAAAATTAAAAACAACTTTTCAAATACCTTATAAAAATTTGCAGAAATAAAAAATATATTATTTTTTTTTTTTATTTAAAGGGAACCAATATTTCCTGTAAAATTCGAAAGACGTTGTGAAATAGTCAGCTTCATTTTATTGAGACTATCAAAGTCTTGGTGTTACGATGAATTAATTAATCACCTGAATGAGTGCTTGTTTATTACGATTTTAGTTTGAACTATTACTCAACGACATTAATCATAGATTAAACATTTTTGGCAAGACGTGCCTAATTATGCCATTGCGGATATTTATTATCAAAACAATCCGAATTAATTCAGGAGTTAATTGCAAGGCTTAATGTGTAATTATTTATTAGCACATTAGTCAAACGCCACATATTTTAACATAATTATTTACTTGTAAGTTACGAATCAATACATAATTGATGTAAATGTAAATGAGTGACGTCATCAGTCACGCTAATTTACGTAATTTTTGTGAATCCATGCACACATCTTAATCCTAAATTGATCACGTTCAACTGTTTTTAGCACTCGGAGCCGAAATTTCTTCATGACGTGAGAATAGGCGTACATTTTTCGTACAAACTCTGATCTAATTTAGATACCGCCGTTAATAACAACGTAATCTCTAAAACTTGACGGACAGCGACTTTATATGCAAAGATCCCAATTATGGGCGTAAAGTAAAAACATATTTCAAAAAGAGCGTTTGGTGAAAAAGGTCGTCTAATTATACTATGTCCTTCGAATGTAATTTAATCGAAGGCTAAGAGCGTCATTCTTTAACGAGTTTTTTACTTTCGGAACAATAACACGACACAAGTAAAAAGTGAAGTTTACATTTGAGACATGTTAACGAGAACAACAAAAGGACTTTATATTTTAAACGTGATTTACAAACTGAAAACAAACGCTTGCTTGAGAAGTAGTAAGTCAACGGTCAGGTTATTTTTGATCAACGCTAATCGGGCTTTGTTCTTAAAACTAACGGTTAAAAATGTTAGGCGGTTCGATTATGGTGTAATTTCGAGGGCTTTGGGGCATGTGGGGTGAACCAACTAAGATGAATGGTTCAGGCAGGATGTACTATCTTTTTTGGGTACATGAGCTTCGAAATATCTGATGTAAACTGGCCGAAATCGCATCGATTTAGTAATGGTAGAGCTATACTTAATTCTTTACAATGAAATAAAAAACTGGCTTTTCCACGTACGTGAAACTTAAGTTTCGTTTTTCTCAAAATTTTATAAAACATCTCCAGGCCTCACTAAAACGAAAATTAATATAATCAGTTATCAAAGGTTATTAGCAACAATAAAGTCATTTTTTCTTTCGATGTGACTTGAAATTATTATTATATTACTTAATTTAAGAATAAAATCAGAACAACTTCATTTTCTTACTGCGAATGTTAAAATAGATTGAAATATTGTTCACGATGGGTCTGTAGACCTATTTTTCTTTCGGCGTCAAATTTAAAATGCTTAATTCTCATTATACACATTAATTTAGTAGCGCCGTAATTGGTAGGTCGCATGATAAATTTTTCAGTCAGATTTTATCCATTCAAATGAGGTGTATAGTGTGTTTTGTTTATATATTATCGCTCCCTTTAATCTTTTGTGCTTAAAAGGAATAAAAAAATTTAGTTATAGAGGTAATTCAGTTTTGAAATTCTAAACTTAGATATTTAACCATTCGAAATGAAACTTGAACAAAAAGAACATAGGAGAAAAACAATAAAACAAAACAAGAAAGAAAGAAATAGAAAACAACGGAGAAAACAATTATTTTCGGTCTTGTTAGTATTTCTATTATTTATTTTATCAAACACTTCGTATAAATAAAAATAATACATACTGTGTCCCTATACCTATATTATTTTTGAACTGACTGCTAGATTTGCCAATAATTAGAGAAAATAAATAAGATTTCAAAATCTGAATTACAATAGGTAGGTACCTACATATTATCGATCGATTCAACGTTTTCATAAATTTCAACACTTATAAAAATAAAATCTTCATCACTTTTAAAGGTTGATGTCCTGGAATGGTTTATCTTGGAAGTTAACGAAAATTTGCAAGTTTGATTATTTCCACTAATTTTAAAAAAAATCTGAATATTCTAACATTCCTAAACATGAAAAGGGAGGTTAGAGACATTAAACAGATACATATTATACTCAAAAATTGAAAACAATTATTTATAAAGAGATTTTCTCTATCAATTTCTTAAATAAATTTGACACGTTGATTTACAAATTTATTTTTTTATTAATAGAACGTCTACGTATTAAAATTAAAAAATAATATAGCATTACGTACCTATATCTCGATATACATTTTTTTTAAACATTTAGATCTTTAGTAAATTCTACTATGGCGTTATTAACTTTCTAGAGGAGACGAAAAAATAAATTTTAACCGTTGCTTTATAATCCTTAAATCAGTGTTGGCAGTTTGCAAAAAAAAAATCCATGACAAATTTGTATACAATATTTTATGTTTTTTACAACAACTCCTACATAATCGAAAATAAGCATTAAACCACAAATAAGGATGAACAGATGAATTCTTTTAGTGATTTGTCATGTTCACGATAACTTTAAAGCGCATACAAAATTTCCAAGTCCTCGGTTTTTGCAGATTCTAGTTTAAATTGTAAAATTTTGTGGTGCGTTTTTTGAATTTTTTCCCAAAAATCTACTTATACATGCTTAAAAATAGGAAGTGTTTAACAAAAGACATAATCAAAATACTGACAAAACGGTGTATTACTCAAAAGAAAAATAAGCACAAAATGAGATTTAAGTAGGTAGGTACTTGGCAAAATTTTAAGATGACGTGATCACATTTTTGGTGGGGATTAAGCTGCATTCTTCAAATACATTTGAAATTTAAAAAGTCCAATGAACTAATTATTGTTAACTGTCCAATAAAATCGCCACAGAAGGAAATGGAAGTCTTACTTTTTCTTATCTACATGTTACGAATCGTCAAGGAAACATGAAACTTTCCTAGTTTCGGGAAGTAAAATGTGTGCCAAAATTGGCAATAGATTACGAGTATTCATTCACTCATTTTCCGTTTTACATAACTGGTCGTTTCCCAGTTCCCAGAAAAATCAAAAACCAGTGAGGAAAAATGAAAAATACATTCGAGTATATAAAAATAAATTTTCATTTCCTGATTTTCTTCCTGGTTTCTATATCTGTCAAACTGCCACAAAGGTAAAGAAGAAACTTACTAATCCGTAACGTGATTCCTGTTATCAGCGAAAATAATAAACAAAAATCTTCGGAACTGAATGAAAAAAGCATCTGCACCTAAAAACTCTGGTCAAGAGGTTTCATGTCACGTCATCATTAGTCACGAAAACACGGAAGCAACAAATTCAGTACAGCTATTAATGTTCAAAATGTAAAATTATGCCACAACATTTGTATTGTGTTTGAAGGGGAAAGTTTTGCATCTGAATCTATATATAGTGCGGACAAAACTGACTAACAAGCAAAAAAGTGACTACTGAAATCGATTTTTTGTTCCAATTCATCCAATATTATATGACGCCAGATGCTCTACTGAGTTCAGTAACTCTTAAGTTCTACGCTTTTAAAGTATAGTAGATGTATACAGAAGCGATGATCATATAACACTACCACCACCAGGTCGGTATAAATGTATACATAATTCTAAAAAAAATATTCGTGACTATCGGTTTCTCCACCTCTGATTTTTCGCTTCTAACCTATAAAAACTTAAAAAATTAATTTTTCTAGTTTTGAAGTTACTAATCGCCCTCAACAGCGTTAATCATCTTCACGAAGATATTATAGATGATGCAACAGCTAATAGCTACAATTTACCATCAATTGCTTTTGGATTTGTTGAACCCGTAGCCCCAAGAGCAATTCAATAAAAGCTCTAGAAGAATGGCCCTGTGCAAAGCAGGACCTAGACAAACAGTGGGTAAAAAATTAAGTCAGTTGTAAAAAAATGCAACGAATTTGATAATTTTGAACAATGCACTCAAAAATTGTAGCCACAGAAAAAAATCAGTCAGGTTACGCCTGAAATAAGAAAATCTAATAGGACCACGAAGAAAATATATGCCGGACACGACGGAGATGATAAACAAACTGATCAAAGTAATGAAGACAGTGATGAAGACGCTGCCTGAATTTATTGCAAGTCCTCGTACTCGTGACCAAAGGCTCGTGAGCCTTAGATAAGATATCAAAACTGCAAAAATGATGTCGTAGTGAATTCCCAATTATCTAAAAAAATATATAAAAAATGTTCTGGTGGCTTATACAATCGTCATAAATTTTAAAGATCAACAATTTTTAATTTCTAGCGGTAGATAAGTAGTGTTTTTCGATGTTTTTAATGTACTACGCTCTAGGTGTCATGAGATAATCTTTTCGATTTTACGTAAGCTAACGTAGACACGATTTTAAGGAAATATTGTGAAATGAAC